GGGTCTGTGTGTCCATGTGCCCTGCTCCTTCTCATACCCGTGGAGTTTGGAGTATTCCTATAGCAACCTCTACACCTACTGGTACCGGGACGGGGACAACCCAGACTATGCTGCTCCAGTGGCCTCGAGCAACCGGAATAAACAAGTGAAGAAAGAAACCCAAGGCCGATTCCTCCTCGCGGACCCCACGACCAACAACTGTTCCCTGAGCATCAGAGACGCCAGAAGGAGTGACACAGGACGCTACTTCTTCCGATTGGAGATAGAATATCCTGAATATAATAATTACCTAGGATACATCCAAAGATATAAGTTCCAAGTATATAGTTACCGAGAGAAGATGCTGGATTTGCAGGTGACAGGTAAGACAGGGGCCCAGGATAGGACCCAGGGACAGGGGACCCCGCCTTAGAGCAGGAACAGGACACTGGACACTCCCTGTCCAGGCCTTGGGTCCTGGGTGGTGGGAAGGTCACAGGGCCTGGGGACCTCAGGGGCCCTGAGACACGAGTCCCACTCAGGACCACACTTTGGGTCCCCACCCCTGGAGCCCAGGCACCTGCCTTTCTCCCCTGCATCCCTGACAGAGAAACCCCATATCCGGATGAGAGAACTGTTGGAGTCCGGTCACCCCACAGAGCTGGCCTGCAGCCTGCCAGGGGCCTGCGAAGGGGGACGACCTCTCACCTTCTCCTGGGCGGGAGCCGCTGTGGACTCGCTGGACCCCCAGACCCTCCGCTCCTCGGTGCTCACCTTCACCCCGAGGCCCCGGGACCATGGCACCAGCCTCACCTGTCAGGTGAAACGGGAAGGGTCCCGGTGGAGCACACAGAGAACCATCCAGCTCAATGTCTCCTGTGAGTGTTGGAGCGGGGGCTGGGTCCATGGGGGCAGGGGAGTTACGTGTGTGTGTGTGTGTGTAGGAGGCTTAGCAAACCTGAGAACACCGGGGCATGGATCTGTGTGTAGGTGGGGAGGGGCCAGAAGGAGAGAACCCCTCCTTCATGGTTCCCACCACCCCTCCTTGGGATTGGGGTGACGTCCATCTGAAGGGGGGCCCTGTCTTTCTCTCCCAGATGCCCCAGAGAACCTCACCATAGGTGTCTCCTTCAGAAATGACACAGGTAGGAAAGAACCCCTCCTCTCTGGGCTGGGACCTGCCCCCGGGACCCTGGTGGGGCAGAGGGGGAGCAGGAGTTTGAATGGGATGAGACATGGGAAGGGCAGGGATGAAAGACATCAACCGAGTCCCTCACCTCTGGTGGGTGGCTGCCTGACTTGTGTTCCACACACACACACCTCTCTCTCTCTCTCTCTCTCTCTCTCTCTCTCTCTCTCTCTCTCTCTCCCTCATAACCATTCTCCCCGAAGCCTTTAAGAATCTGCAAAACACATCCCTTTCCATCCTGGAGGGAGAAGCCCTGAGGCTGCGCTGTGAGGCTGACAGCAACCCCCCTGCCGAGCTGAGCTGGCTC